AATGATATAATTGTTACATCAAACAAACAAACGATGGCTGACCAGAGACAGACGCCGAATTCCTAACGAACGTCTAATATATAGGACAACACTATAATCGTTACATACTGAATAATATTGTGTACATAAAAAAATTGTCCGATCACAGTCACAGTCACACCTTCAATACTAACACAAGGGCGAAGTCTCGCGATTATTCGGCTTTCTTATGTAAACTAGAGAGTAGGCCGATAAAAGTTACGTAACGGCGCTTCCGAGCATCACTCATTATAGATGTAGCGTGATGCACGACTATTTGATAAGGCCGGAAGCTCATAAGGCTCATAGGGCGTTGCACTGCACAGGTAGGTACTATGTTTGTGCGGCGGCAACAAACTGCAGTAACTCTTATGGCCGTATGCATAGTCAATTTGTGTGTCACGCATACAAGACATATATTTTGAAATGCGTCCGACACATATATACGTTCGACTGTGCACAAGGACATGAGTTTGACATGTTTTTAAATCGGGACGGGACATAGCAGTCTGTACGGCACATTTACACCGAATTGATAATTGTATAAAATTTAGGCTGTGGAATACGCCGACGGGAAGGGGCATAAGTCTGTGCAGAAAAAACGCGGTGGAAAGTGTGACGCACAAAACGATACTGTAAACGCTGTGCACCATATTATAGCTCCCCATCTCTAGGACGATAAAATATGTGACCTGGCCACATCGGATGTTCTTATACCTGCTTATGTAACCATGGTATATAAAATATATAGGTATATATATATATATATATATATAGGTACTCAGTGTTGTACTGTCCACTGCTGCAGTTACGTGTCGTATTCACTGATCTCCATATACTATCATGAAGCGAGCTCTGGCCGGTGCAGTGTTCGATATATTACTTTAATACACCAATAGTTCGTGGCCATTAAATTCCTAAATATATTAGATGCTTTCTTCGTTTTATGATTGGGATTCCATAAGTTAATCTGCAAATAGGCTCCACGACTGGCCGCCGGCCGAGCTCATATTACGTGTCCATAAATCGCGACAACGGCTTAAAAAAACTACATAATATTTTACTTAAATGTCCGTGTATAATTAATATTCTTTGAAAAAAAGTAATTCGTTCTAGATATGTACTAGCTGACTGGCATAATATTGAAGAACATATTATATCGCGTTACCCGCGGTTGTCTCGGAGCTATGTAGAACACCGACGACTTAATATATCATATTATAATATAGTGTTTATAACCGACTATGGTCGTCAAGACGAGTATTAGGCCCCTGCGACCCACAAGTTCCTGATATTAGAGCGTTCAAAAAAACAAACTCTTCAGCTTTATAATATAAGTATAGATTATAATATTAATAATAATAAATAATGTTTATATTAAAAACAATAATAAGAACTCAGAATGGCACAAATAAATAATAAGCGATTTCATTGACGGAAGAGACTGATTTATTTGTGTCAATACACATTATTATAATTAAAAACAAAATATAAAATTATGTACTGTTTGGGCTATGGAATTTTTGAGTTTAAGATTGATGTGGACATGAATTAACAGTTCTGGAACAAAACCAAAAATAGTCGATTAATACAATATACTAAAGTATAAAAGTATAGAATCTTGGTAGAGTTATATAATAAATTCTAAAATGGTTAAAAAACACTCAAATACACTCTTTAAAGTGTTGTAAAAAATATATTTAAATACAGAAAAGAATACATCGCTGCAGAAAGTATTTCAAATACATTCCAAATTATACTTTTAATTTTAACTTTTAAGAAACAGTTTTTAAGAATTATTCGAAAAAATATTTATGTATTTAGTAATTATACTAATATAAAGTGGCGATGTCAACATTTAACTATTAATTAAGTTATAAATTTACAGTTACACCAAAAACTTAAATCGATTTCGTTGAAAACCGATTTACCGTAAAAATTTATAGGTACCTTAATTTTTTTAGTTTTTCCCCAGTGCTAGTTTTACTTTTTCATCGAACCAAATACTAAAGTTAAAAATTGAAACATTATTTCGATTACTTATCGTTGTAAAACCAATTCATTCAGCATCTAAAAACAAATATTTAGGTATAGGTAACAGAAGAGGAACGGAGTTTCCCTACTATTTTTATTTTTATAGTTTGAACTATTGTATTAATTATCAATTATGTAATACGAATATATGTATAAAATAATCAATTGTTTTCATGACAAAGTCATTTCCACTGGGAGACCTATGTTGGTAACAGATTTTACTTATATGTACTTATTGTCCATCAATTTATGGGCCGAATGCAAAAGATTGTAAATTTAAATAAATGTATAAGTCAGACGTAGTTCAAACCACTCTCTTAATGTCTCTGACATCTCTTAGAACAATTTAAAATGTTCAAAAAAATGGTCAACTAGTTTTTGTGTACGTATAATAATATAACTTATAAGCTACAAACATATATTCAACTATAATATTTGTTAAAGAGTTTTATTTAAATAATTTAATTTAATAATTACACATGGATATTTTATATTTAAATAATTTAATTTAATAATTGTACACTTGTACAGTAATATTTATATAATTTATCTGTACAGCATTGCCGGACATAATTTTCGTGGGACTATAAACCGTAGACTGACGAGTGACAATAACGTGAATTTATGCCACAGAACCGACCTCCGTATCGCTTTGTATCAATTACGTTTAGATAAATTTTTTTTTATTTTGGTATCCAACGATTACAATAAACTGATATAATATTATAGTTTATTCGTATTCAATGAAATTCATGACCATATTATAGTCATAACCAAGAAATATTCAATTGGAAAATATTTCAACAAAACATCTTTGTATATTGTGTTATGACTGTTATGAGTGTAGGCAGACAAGCAAAAATAAAAGTTTAGGACGGACATTTGTATTTCTGCAATGATATTCATTAATTATATATATGGTTCTAAAGTTGAAAATTGCACTCTTCTTGAAATATATAAATGAAATAATGAAATTTTTTTTCTTCTTTGAAACTTCTTTATGTTCGGTAAATTGGTTACCTACCTATAGATGATTATAAATAATATATTGATTATGCACAGAAAACATCGATAATGAATAACTTACCTATCAGTTATCAACCAAGGTTTACGAATTACCATAATATTATTATATGTTAATTAAGTTACAATCTGTATAAGTAGTATAACTATACGTCTAAATACCTAAATATTTAATATGGTGTATTCAGTATTGGTACTAATTGTCTTATAATAATTCATAAATCATATAATAAAATCTAGAATCCTTAGGTGATTAAAAATCAACAGTATTCTTCAATAAAGTAATACAGAAATAAATAACTCATATTGTTATTTACTTATTACTTATTTATAAAATTATAAGCTTATAAGTTATAAAGTTATAACATTTTGCATTACTATAATTTATAGTTGTATAAATCACCTGATATAGTTTTAAGTAATTATGAAAGAATTAACAATATTTAGTAAACTAATTAAAAAGCAGTAAATAAAACATCAAAAATATTTTTTTATGAGCTTTAAAATATCATGTTATAATGTGCTTATGTGTTTGTAACTTAAAAATTTAAATGCTATGTCATTTTTAAACTACTTCTAGACTATAATAAGAACTCAGAATGGAACAAATAAATAATAAAACGATATCATTGACGGAAGAGACTGATTTATTTTGCAATGTCAATACACATTATTATATAATTAAAAGCAAATTATACAATTATGTAATGTTTGGGCTATGGCATTTTTAAGTTTGAGGTTGATGTGGACTTGAATTAACAGTTCTGAAACAAAACAAAAAATAGTCAATTAATATAATATACTAAAGTATAAAAGTATAAAATCTTGGTAGAACTAAATAATAAATTCTAAAAAGGTTACCAAAATTCGTTATACCTACTCTTTAAAGTGTTGTAAAAAATATATTTAAATACAGAAAACGATACATCGATGCAGAAAGTATTTCAAATACTTTCCAAATTATACTTTTAACTTTTAAGAATCAGTACTTAAGAATTATTGATTTTAATACTTGGCATACAATTTTAATTTAATTTATTTAATTTTACAATTACGAAAAATGATTTATGTATTTACTATTTAGTAATTATACTAATATAAAGTGGTGACGTCAACATTTAAGTATCATTAAAACTTTATACTACCTATACACCTACTTCATTTTATAACGAAAAATGAAAATAAAAAATTTATATTTTAATTCTAAAAAAAATGTACTATTAATTAAACTGTAAACCAAAAATGTAATAATTTGATTTTAATTAATTATAATTAAGGTAATATAGTAATTATCAAATAACAACCTGAACTGCGACAAATAATTTTTTTGCATTTTTAAAAGTATTTACAAAAAATTATTTGATTTTCAAATACCTTTAGTTATACCAATACTGTATTAAAATACTTCCTAATACTTAATTAAAAAAAGTTTTAAGTAATACTATAAAAGTATTTAATTACATTTACTAAAATACATTACAACACCGACACTTATTGTGACTATATTGTGTGTGAAAATATTTAACCTTTTGTTAGTCAACTTTAGTAAGAGTTAGAGAAAATAGATTTTCGAGACTTTTCTATCAAAAGGTTAAATGTTTAATAAGTTATGATTACAAATTATATAAAATATGTAATTTATATAAAATCAATAACAATTAAATTTGATGTAACTATAAAATATTGAACACAATTATTTAAGCACTAATTATTTAAATATACCTAGTTCATAATAATAAAAAAATTGTATATATTTTAATGACGTAAGTGATATAAAAATGTATATTATACTAGGTAGGTATTGATTTAATTTATATAAAGTGTCAAAAATTAAGTACACATACTTGTCTACTCATGAACACAACAATAAAAGAAAATTGAAACACAATAACAATAACAAGTGCAGGAAAATAATCACAGAATTGTTAACTCACCATCAATGGGCTGGTGGCTGGAGTAGTAGCTTTGACGTTCATTTTTATGGCCTTTGTAGATTGGACTTGTCCGACGACGACGATGTTCATGGTTACTCTTTCAGCGCCCATTTTTGGTTTTTGGTTGGTTTTTTGAGGTGTAAAGTGAAAACTGCAAGTAGACAAGAAAAAAAAAAAATAGAATCAAAAATAGAAAATACGAATAACTTTAAATAATATAAAGAACAAAAAAATTTCGTTTCTCGTCAGCTATATACTCACAGAATATTATATTTGCACAAAAATTGCGTTATGCCGGAATGAAGCATCAATTCGTCCTTTTATACAGTGGCGACTTTTGTCTATGGTGTGGAGAGAGCTGTGGCGTGGTGGCGTGACCATATAGCTCATAAAGGTGACCTTTATCATTTAGGAAACTGATATCGTACGTCGGACGACGTCAAATATTATTATTTGTTTACATATTATTTTACTATTTAACGTTTAAAACTTATCCATCAATTAATATAATGAAATCTGCTTCCAAAATATGTCACTAAATATCTTATAGTGGAAAAATATTGGACATTGTGATTACCATTTATTCCAATTTTGGTTAACGTCTACAACATACACATCAAGTTGACTTAAATCATAAAAATATTTATTGAACTCTTAAGATTTAGATTCGTTTAAAAAATAGTCCATCAAAAAGTATTAATTAATCAGTCTTTAGGCTTGAAATAAATTATTTAAAAATCCGATTTGATTATCGATAAAAATTATTAAAAATTAAGTGTCGTAATTTTTTTTTAAATGGTGTTCAAATGTCGAATTGAAATGGAAAACAATTTAAACTGATAATCTATACCAAAATAATTATCGTTTTACAATATTTAAAATCAATTATAAAATTTAAAAAAATGTATGATTTAAATTTTTAATTCAACAAAAGTCCATAGGTCTATTATAAACTATAATATTGTACATAATATGTAGCAATGTAATACGAAAAACCCGACTAATATTTCATTTTTTTTATTCCCGTTTCATAGATGTGCGTATTGACAATTATGGACGACATGTTTCAAGTATGTAGTTAGAAATCAAAATTTAAATCGTTAAAATTTAAAATGTATATTTTAAATCGAAAAAAGTACATTTAAAATCTGATAAAAAAATCTCTATACAATTTAATCGACAACATGCAACAATAAATAAATAATTAAATTATAATATTAATATGTTTTTTTTTGAAATTGAAATCAAACAAAAAAAAACAAAGAAGTATTTATAAGTGAATTGAACATTTTTATTTTTATTTCAATTCCTGAATAAACCACAATAGAATAAATATGAATACCTATGTTAATTATAATACTAGTTTGGTATGAAAAACAACTATTTTTACCATCATTATATTATCAATGTCATATGACCACTGAGTGTATTATTCTTTAATTCATATTATTACAAAATGTTATTTTTGTAATTTTTATACAGAATAACCTATATTTAGATATTATATTTTCAAAAACTTAAATATTTAAACAATCTCAGTTGTAAACTGTGCTCAAATAACTTTACTTTAGTTTACTTAAGAACCACGATTTTGTATATTCAAAGTTAAGAAAAATATAAATTATAAACTGCCTATAAGAACTAATGGCCAAACTGTAAAATTAAAAATGATTTATAAAAAAAATAAATTGATAAGATAAAATAATGCATTATCGCGAGTTTATATTAATTGTCAATCATGTCGTACAAATAAATATTTAACATAATCAATTGTTTTCACGACGAATTATTTCCACTGGGAGATAACATATCTATGTGGGTACCAGATTTTACGTATAGGTACTTATTGTCATTATCGAACATAATATTGTCCATCAATATGGGCTGAATACAAAATATTATGTTCTATGATTTTTGAATTTTAAGTAGCTGGTACCCCTTATCTACATGCCTATATTTTCAAAAACTTAAATATTTATACAATTTCAGTCGTAAACTGTGCTCATATAAGCAAACGACATCACAACACTAAAAACAAGTTTGCTTAGATTTAAGTTAATTTTTTTAAGCTTTTTACCACATTAAAATATCATTAAATTAGAAAAAATAACTAATTAGTTATTATTGTCTTATCATAAATTATTATAATTTAAACACAATATCTTAGTAATTTTAATTTATAGTAATAATAATTAGTTGACTTGAGAGCACACTCACTGGCGTGTACAGTGTTATCGTTTTGACAAACGACGAGGTATCGTGACAAGATAAAATAAGATCAGTGCACACATTATAGTGTTCTCCAAACTACCATTAATATTTCTAACCGACTTGTCGAAGCACGTAGCTAATATTTACTATTTACAAATTGTACAAATTATTATTTAATCGTTTATAGACACACTTCTCAACATGAAAAGCTGCAAAAACTTTTTTTTTTATTACAGACCATTTGCATTATAATAATAAATTATATGTTACCATAGGAATCTAATTGTTTTTAATTTTTAATTTGGTGGTTCAAGTGCTCCTGTGCACCATACCACAAGCCGCCACTGTACCTATATGTCATTATATAAGAAATATGGTGTGCGTCTCAAAATTAATATATCGACTACGGATATAATAAACTCCTGCAGTGTAAACGAACTATGAGGTGACATAATGAAAAAAGTAAGTTTCGGTTTGTGCCTACTTTTCGTGTTTCGAATAGGGTGGCCTGACGACTCTAAACGTAATGATGCAAAAAAAATTCGAAAAATGTTACTTTTTTCTTACATAGGTGTGGGCGACATAATTGTTGAAGGCTTTTTTACTATAAATTTAATTTGTTATATTTTTTGATTGAAGGAGTTAAGATCCAACTTCAAAACTAATACAGATAGTTTAAACCGTCATTGAGGAACACATTTGGCAAAAAAAAATTTCAAATATTTTAAGAATAGTTGGTCAACGGGTTGAAAACGGTTTTAAAACGACGTTTCTGTTACTTAGATTATTCGGTAGAAGGTGCTTATTTTTTCTCTTGTAAATGGGCGCAACTATATATTTAAATAGCAGTCTAAACGTTGATGCAAAAAAAATTCGGAAAATGTTACTTTTTACTTACATAGGTGTGGGCGACATACCTGTTGACGGCTTTTTTACTACAAATTTAATTTGTTATATTTTTTGACTGAAGGATTTAAGATCAAACTTCAAAACTAATACAGATAGTTTAAACCGTCATTGATTAACACTTTTGGCAAAAAAAAATTTCAAATATTTTAATTATAGTGGGTCAACGGGTTGAAAACCGTTTTAAAATAACGTTTCTGTTACTTAGATTATTCGGTAGAAGGAGCTTATTTTTTCTCTTACATATGGAAGCAACTTATATATTTAAATAGCGGTCTAAAGGTTGATGCAAAAAAAATTCGGAAAATGTTACTTTTTACTTACATAGGTGAGGGCGACATACCTGATGACGGCTTTTTTACTACAAATTTAATTTGTTATATTTTTTGACTGAAGGAATTAAGATCAAACTTCAATACTAATACAGATAGTTTAAACCGTCATTGATTAACACTTTTGGCAAAAAAAAATTTCAAATATTTTAATTATAGCTGGGTCAACGGGTTGAAAACGGTTTTAAAACTAACGTTTCTGTTACTTAGATTATTCGGTAGAAGGAGCTTATTTTTCTCTTGCAAATGGGCGCAACTATATATTTAAATAGCAGTCTAAACGTTGATGCAAAAGAAAATTCGGAAAAAGTTACTTTTTACTTACATAGGTGTGGGCGACATACCTGTTGACGGCTTTTTTACTACAAATTTAATTTGTTATATTTTTTGACTGAAGGATTTAAGATCAAACTTCAAAACTAATACAGATAGTTTAAACCGTCATTGAGGAACACTTTTGGCAAAAAAAAATTTCAAATATTTTAATTATAGCGGGGCAACGGGTTGAAAACGGTTTTAAAACGATGTTTCTGTTACTTAGATTATTCGGTAGAAGGAGCTTATTTTTTATCTTGAAAATGGGTGTAACTATATATTTATAGAGCCGTCTAAACGTTGATGCAAAAAAAAATAAGGAAAATGTTACTTTTTACTTACATAGGTGTGAGCGACATACCTGTTGAAGGCTTTTTTACTACAAATTTAATTTGTTATATTTTTGACTGAAGGATTTAAGTTCAAACTTCAAAACTTATACAGATAGTTTAAACCGTCATTGATTATCACTTTTGGCAAAAAAAAATTTCAAATATTTTAATTATAGTGGGTCAACGGGTTGAAAACGGTTTTTAAATAACGTTTCTGTTACTTAGATTATTCGGTAGAAGGTGCTTATTTTTTCTCTTGCAAATGGGCGCAACTATATATTTAAATAGCAGTCTAAAGTAACGATATTATTATAAATATTTATAATTAGTCTGATGGACAAAATAAACATTGCACTGACATCGTATAAATGTATTATAATATGACAAATCACGCATATACTAATAATATGTGTATTGAGTCAATCAAGTCATAATCCGGTACTACCCGTTTATTAAAATAATATTATATTATATAGGTAGAGGTATACGTATAATGAGGACCCTTACCCCCCTCCCCATCACACACACAACTTGCAACTGTAAACGGACATATTGGCATACACGATTTTTTGACATCCTTACAATCGAAGGCCTCGTTTTTAAAGCACTAATGTACGGAACGTGGCTCAATCTACAGCTGCATCATCTGACGATGTTGTCATGATGATTGCCGGACAAATACTGATGATAGGTACTATATAGTCCATAATATTATTATGTTTGTGAATTTGTGCAATCGAGTAGACAACATTTGTTTCAATGTTTGAGCTTATACTCTTATAAATTATTATAATCCATAACAAATCATAACAATGGAATCTTTGCATCGCTGCAATGTAAAAATATAATTCAACAAATAATTCGCAAACCAATACGACAATATTATTAACCAGTACCTACCACAGCCCTTACAGCACACATTAATAATAAAACGGCCCTTGTGGGCTATGACCCAACAGTTCTTCATAATAATATAGATAATAAACAGATTATAAAATCGATAATTTATGTATTTAGATTTTAGATATTAGGTATATGTACAGACAAATGTATTCGGTGCAAAGTCTTCGGGCCTGAATAAATTATTCACAAAAGGCAGTCGGCAAAATAAATATACAGGTAAATATGCATTGCACGCACTTGGAATGATATAAATTATAATTAATGAGAATTATTTGACTGTTTGAGTCTTGTCACTAATGGTGTAATAAT